TTTGGCAGTTCAGTCCAGTTCAGCAAGAGTTGGAGTCAAAGGACTTTTCTTCATGGTTAGTTGGGGCTCAGCAAGCTAGGGTGTGAATCTACAGTGCACCAGCTTGTCATGCAGTAATGTCCTGTGTGGACACCGCGACGGAGCAGTGAAAGTTCCGGAGTGTGGCTGGCTTACTACTACTTGAAAGCTTTGTATGCCAAGCCATATTCCAGGACTTTCAGTGCACTGCACCACTGTCCACACAGGATGTTACTGCATGGAAAGTAACTGCAGATTCACACACTGGCATGCAACACAGTAAGGTCTGTGCCAAGGACAAGCCTGAAGAGAATGCCTCGGTCACAGGTCTGAGTGACAGGGAGGGTGGGAGTGTTTAACCATGCCTGGGGAAGGAGGGAGATGTGGAGGGTTTGGGAGAGAAGACCAGGACTTGGTGGCAAAAAAATCCAAGAGATGTCAGAATGAGAAGGACCCAGAGGCAGGATTTGGGCAAAGAAAGCCCCTTTTAAATTGGAAACTTGTAATGATGACTGTTCATGTGTCAAAAATAGTCTGGTATCTAGGTACAGTGTGTTCCAAAAATAACTGAGAAAATATCAAGGGCGTAGAGCTTAGGCAGCGGAGAAAGATGAATATTTTGACAAATGCGAACAATATACCACTTATTCTACTATTTTCCTCCTAATTTTATTTCCTTCTATTTCTACTCTACTTCATTCTTCTCTTACTATTCTTATTTATAATATGATTGCATCGGTAGCTGCATGAACCATGATCTGATGAGAAAAGGGCTTTCCTAAATCATTTGTACCCTAAAAATTCCAAGTGAGAGAAGCTGTTATGTCCTGGAAAGGTTCCAGTTTGGAGACATTGGAGGGGTGGGGGAGGAGGAGGGAGGGAACAGTCTAGCTGTTCTGAGAGATAATGGCCACCAACGGAGTGAAACTGGGTGGAACAAGAGTAACGAATGGCAGTATGGGCCAGATCCTTGTGCAGGTAAAACTCAGATTGAAGTAAATTGGTTATTTTTATTATGTTAATGAAACTATCTGGTAAAAAGGCTGGTAATATGCAGTGATAACAGTTTTCTATTTAATGGCTGAGTAGGTCCTGGCTAATGGCATGAGTTGATGTCTAACTAGTTGAGATTATGATTGTATAGTGGCATATAATGGTTGCTTTCAATTGTTTATGTAGTCAATGGTGGCAGTATATCCCATACAGTGTGTAAACACAACCCCTTGTATATATCCAGCCTCTAGTGTATTTCTTCTCCTTGCAAAGTGAACTGAGCAACTTGAAAGGGACACTGCCATATTAAAAATCTAAGTGCTAATATGTATGTGTACCATTGTCCTCTCGGAGATGGATTCAGAACTGCTTGGCTTTTGTCCTCGGCCCTATCCTTCTCCATGGTTAATGGAGATTCAAGTGGGGGTAGCTGAAGAGGTCTATGGAGAATGCATATCCTATTACCTCCAGTTGTGTGGAAATTAGTCAGAAAAGGTACTACAGCAGCAAGCTTTATTATCCTTTCCTGGCAGCTCCCACTCTTGGAACCAGCCAGAAAAGGGGAAGTTCCTGGTACACTGGCTTCATTGGAGATGTGCTGCCATGGAGCCAAGGGGGTGAGGGATTGCTGTAGGCCAGAGTTGGTGCTGAGGTACAGGGACTGCATGCAGATGGTCCTTGTCTCCCATGGATTTGTACAGATGCCCTGGCATTTGCCAGGTTTGGGGATGGGGCCCCAATGTCTTTTCCAAGGAAAAGCTGGTATAAAACCCCACTTGTGATGTGAAAATATGGAGGTGATCTCAGTGAAGGATTCTAGTAGAGGTTTCCTCCCCCTGATTTGTGTCTCGTGGATTTTTACACAGGATGGGACCCAGGAGTTGGAGCTGTCCTCTTTCTGTCACTTCTCTGCTCATACTCAAGGATGTTTCCATGGCATGCATCCCTCACTATCCTTAACTGGCCGGACATGCATTAATGCCTTGATACAGCAGAGGGATCTGTGTGAGCAAACTTGGGTTCCCCATAGAGCACCACTCCGAGGCCCAGGGTTCTGACTGAAATCAGGGCCTAGAAATGTGTCTGCTCACCACGCCTACATTCTGTTGCTTTTATTTGGGAGGTGTAATGTCTTTTTTTTTTTAACACTCATTGCAGATATGGGATGTAAATCACACTCATCAGCATCCAGATGGAAGGAGGGAAGAGGATGGTGTTGATTTGCATTCATTGGGTTGTTCCCTGGAAGGGTTATGATTTCTTTTCTCCTTTCAGATTGTGTGTTCGTTTGTTGCAAAGTCACTTAAGGTTTGATTGTGCCATTTAGACATGACCCTGCATTAGGGACAGTGCAAAGTAGCCCTGGTTGGGCCTCACCAGCAATACTGGAAACATTCTCCCCAAGAGAGACAGAATGCCTCCCAGTGTTCAGAGGGAATGAACCCACTGCAATACCTCTTTAGGAGCTGTAGCATGCTCTCCATCTCAAGGAGGCTGGCCAGCTCCACTGGCTGCCATGAAAGAGGAGGGTGGGGTTATGGCAAAACCTCTTTGGAATGCTGTGCACCCCCAAGGAGTAGTTAGGGGATGAGTCATGTGCTTCCCTCAGACTGCATTTCTGCCCTGTCCTTAGGCAGACTATCCAAAATGGGGAGAGACTCTTTACTCCCTTCCTCTTCTATTCCCCCACCAGCTGCACAGACATATAAGGGCCAGGGAGGGAATCTAGAAATGTCCAAAAAAACCCACCCACCATCTCTTCTTCTGAGCCCACTTTAGTCCCCACACCCTCTTTATTTGGCTGACCCCAGATCTTTTTCTGCAGCTTCTTGCCCTGCTTTGACCATTAGGAATCTGAACTTTCTCTTTTTCAGTTTCACACAGTTTTATTTAGCCTGGGACAAATCCAGCATCACTTTTATCTCTCTTGTTCCTCTATGTCCTTAGTTTACAGCAGGCGCAGGCACAGCCAATCTACAGCGCTTGAGGCTTTAAAATGTGGCCATTCAAAGGCTTCTGTCTTAAGAAGAAAATGTGCATTTGATTCCAAACGGAAAATGTGTCCTGTGGGTTTTAGTGGGCAGTGTTTGAATCAGGCCTATTGCTATGGAAACGAGGAAGGTGGCACCATCTTTCTGACAGTCTCCCAGTGTCCCTGCCTCCAGCTGCTCTGTTTGTTTGTTTGTTTTGTGATTCCTAATCAACAGTGCCTCATGGATACAAGCGTAGCTAAGATGGTGTAACTGGTAACATCCCAGATCACGGTTGCTAATTCTGGAGATTTTGGTCTCTGCTGGAGCTAGTCTCCCATGACAAGAAGCTCCAGCCCTCAAGCAAAGGTGAGCTCTGCTTGGGGAAAACTATTCCACTGCCTTCTCCAATTCCTAGCCTGAGCTTCCTGGGCAAGAACAGCCAACTAGAGGTGCTGCAGGAAACCCACAGAGCTCTGCCTCTGTCCTTGTTCCCCTGAGTGGAGGGGTGTGTGTGTGTCTGCCTGTCCCCCAGCAGCTCAGAGTAGTCAGCTCCATTTTCCACTTCTCCTCCTGTGACAAATGGGTAGGTCTCCTCCGTCCCTCTCTAATCCAACCCTGCAACACCAGTCCCGGGGGTGGTGCTGGGGATAATCCCTGGAGGGGCAGAGGTAGGGCTGATGTGGGGTGCCCAATTAATTACTAGTCTGAGGGGCACAGAATGAATGACTTTGAATTTTTGGGTTGGGGAGAAAATGGAAGCTTGACATAATCAAAAAGCATTTCATACAAACCCATATTTTTAGTGGGGGCTTCTGCAGCAGGGGCCATGTGGGAGAGATGTCAAAGCTTTGTCTGCTCCACACACATTAGGTATGGGCAGGAGGGGTTAAAAAACCAAAAGACAGACCAGAAAACACAATATAATCATTTTGGGGCCAATCTCTTGAGTTTTGGTGAGTCTGACTCACGGTTTTTGAACTCTTGGGTTTGGCAATACTGCAGATTCAACGGGAAATTAACAAATTGGTGTGTGTGTGAGGGGTAAACAACTCCAAAAGTCATATTAAGAGGATAATAAGTCAAGACAAGCTTTTGTATTGGGGCTATAGGATAAATAGTTAAAGTATTGCGTGTGGCCTGTTGGTCCTTTTGAAATAATATTTTGGCTCTCAGACCGACAAAGTCAGACACCATTGGTCTACGTAATGTCTGTAATTTGGTGATGTTATGCCCTTCTTTGCCCTCTGCTTTTCTGGGTCAGGCACTTAGTTCTAGGAGGATATTTTTTGCAGCTGATCCTTCCTTTCTCTTTAGTAGGGGTGTGTTTTTTTTTTTTTAAACCTGTGACTTGTTGCCAATATTTTACCAAAGATTCCCCACAAAATTTCCCCCTTTGCCTGTGATAAACCCCTTGTACTGGGGCGAGTATGCTTGTAGGGAGGAGGGGTAAGAAACTGGGAAATCTTACTTGGGCTTCCCTTGTAAACAAAAGCTCTTTCTCCTAACCAAGCAAGGAGGCAACACAAAGAGGTATGAAGTGATTTTGCATTTGGTTCTTGAAAAATATGGGGAGCATACTGTGCTAAATATGTGTACTTTCAAACGTTGCAGGTGGCCGTACAGTCACCTAGGCAGGGGCCCGGGAGCTATCCTCATCTTGGAGAGTTCCGGCTACCTGGGGCACTTTTGGTATATTCCAGAAGCAAAGAAGGCGTTTTACAGACATCGCTTCTGTGCCAGCCCGAGGGACAGGATGTGGCCGGCAGGCTGGTGGACCAGCGTCCAGAGAGCGGGGGTGGGAACGGTTCCATCGCCCCAAACTCCCCACCTCCCGCGGGGGCGGCGTTTTCACGATGGGACCCCAGAGCTCCCTCCAGCCGCACGCCCCCGAAAACAAAACCCTGCTCGAGCCCGTAGCAGCCGGTGAGCCGACTCCGATTGGCTGTGGATTCCGTTTATCTGGGCGACCAGCCAATCAAACTCTCTCCCTCCCGCAGCACCAGAGGCATCGGAGCCGGAAAAGACCGAGTCGGTCGCCAGGGCCGGCCCTCGGCCCGTCTCTGATAGGGAGCGGCCCGGCTATTTAATGAGTGACAGCTCGACACCCCGCTCACACGGGAGCTCTCGGGGCGCCAGTTTGAGCCACTGCTCGCTGCCGCCGGCTGCGGGCGGGCGCTGCACGGGTCGTGCCGGGTGGCGGCTTAGCTCCTCCTGCTCTCGGCCAGGTAAATCTGTTTTCGTTGGGCGGAAAGATTCTCTGAACGCAGCCAGCTGGAGAGGGGGGGGGACCTGCTGGTGCAGAGGAGGGATTTGCGGGCGCAGTCGAGGCTGGTGTAAATGGACCCGCGCCCCCCGCGCCCATCCAGCTCTGCCAATGCACCTCCATAGTCCTGGGCTCTTCGCCCTCCCAGGGGCTCGCCCCGAGCCCGCAGGCGAAGCCTGGGCTGGTGAGGCCAGCCTGCGGGGCGGGAGGCTGGTTTGTAGGGTCTCTCGACTTGTGATGTGAGTCAGGAATTGAGGCCCGCTATACAGGAGCACGCTGGCTCACCGATCAGAAGTTGAGTACTTGTGGCACCTTAGAGACTAACCAATTTATCTGAGCATGAGCTTTCGTGGGCTACAGCTCACTTCATCGGATGCATTTCACTTATGCTCAAATAAATTGGTTAGTCCCTAAGGTGCCCCAAGTCCTCCTTTTCTTTTTGCGAATACAGACTAACACGGCTGCTACTCTGAAACCGATCAGAAGTTGTAATTCTCAGCGCTGCTGATCTCTCTCTCTCTCTCTCTAGCCACTTGGGACAACTTAATTTCCTCCAGGGCTGTTACTGCCCTGTTGTTTGTTTGTAAAAAGAAAAGGAGTACTTGTGGCACCTTAGAGACTAACCAATTTATTTGAGCATGAGCTTTCGTGAGCCACAGCTCACTTCATCAGATGCCTGTAGCTCACGAAAGCTCATGCTCAAATAAATTGGTTAGTCTCTAAGGTGCCACAAGTACTCCTTTTCTTTTTGCGAATACAGACTAACACGGCTGTTACTCTGAAACTTGTTTGTTTGTGTTCACAAATGAGAGATGTGAGCTGTGCCGTGTAAAGGATGGGGCAGCGGGTTGGTGCTTGGCAAATAGCATTTTAAAAAAGTGACTTTGCTAAATGAGCAATCTCAAAGGTGCTGTTCAGTAACACCTTTGTGAACGGGGGAGTGTTTTCAGAAGAAATCTACTGAATGCCTTTCAGAACTTGATTTTTCAGAGGTGCTCAGAGCCATAATTCCATCTGGTCAGAGTGGGAGCTGCAGGTGCTCAGCACCTCTGACAATCCTGCCTCAAGACAGCATTGTGTTCAAGGCTGTGCCAGTCTAAGAAGTTGCCATCCATGTACAATAGTTACCTTTCGCTTCATTGTGAGGCACAGCCAAGTATACTGTTCTGCTGTAGGCCTGATCCTGCTGTCCTTCTGAAGGCTAAGGTCTCTTTGACTTCAGTGGGACTGGTGTGCGCATCAGGTCTGCAGGACTGGGGTCCAGTGGATGCAGTCTGGGGAATAAACAAAAGTTATCAGTAAAAAATATTAGGGGGAATACATGTAAAGGCTGTCTGAGAATGAAACCTGAGCATTTTGCAGTGGCAACTTTCTTAACTAATCAAAGCGATATGATGTTGAAAATAGGCTGAAAAGGTGGAGTGGGATGTGAAACCATCTATGAATACTTGAAAGGTGCAATATCCAAAGAGGAAAGAATCTATTCGGTGTGGCACTATAGGGTATCAATAGCAGGGCATTATGAAGGGGGAATTTTGAGTAGACGTCAGGAACAATTTTATCAGACTGAGATCAGTTATACTGGGGAATATTCTCCCAGGGAAAGTGGTGGAAGCCCTGGCTTGAGTCACTTAAAACTTAACTGAACAAAGCACTGGCCCTGTGGATAGGCAAAGGAGAAAATTTTCAAAAGTGTCTAAATCCTAGTCTCAAAAGTGACTTAGGCACCTTGTAAATCTCAGTCTAAGAGGTTAGGTAGGTTTGGGCACCTAACTCACTTAGGCTGAAATTTTCAAAGGTGCATGAGTGACTTATATGTCCAAATCCACCTAACTCCTTTGACTGGGATTTACAAGGTGCCTAACTGCCTAAATAGCTTTTGAAAATAGGATTTAGGCTTATTTGTCGCTTAGGTAAGTTTGTTAAATCATCCAAGGTAACGTTTTTCAAGGTTTCCCGCGTCCTCCCCGTCTCTGACTTTTATGACTGTCAATCCTAATGCTTTCAAATTCAGCTACTTTTAAAAAAAATTTTAATTCTGATAAAAGATCATCCACTTTAACTGAATCTGAAAAGTGCATAACTTCACTTGTGACAAATGGTAGTGTTGTGTATTTAGATACTAAATACACCTATGTGCTTACAGAACTGATCTGAAAATATTGGAGAAGTCCACTGTGGCTTATTTTGTGTTGGTATCTCTTCATAGGAAGTAATGCAGTGGCATTTTAACCGAAGGGAATAAGGAGAGAACACAGTTTTGGAGAGCTTACAAATGCAGTTTAATTTTATTTCTGTTTCAGATAGAGGGCCTGATTCTCCTTTGTTCTGCACCTTTTGTTAAGTGTGTCTAAAATGCTACCAAATCAGAATGGCAACAGTGATGAGCCCATTTGACCCAAATGTGTTCAAATCTCTGGAGTGGGAGAACTGTGCAAAATGCATGTTTGCCAGTTATCTGGGCAAAATTCTGCATTTGTTCATGTAATCCAGATAATTGCAGGTGCAGAATACTTCCTGAGCAAGCACAATTACCTGACTTTCTCTAACCAGAGCAGAGTTTTGTCTGCACCACTGATGAGTATGCACTCTGCAATGCACAAACCATTGACTTTTAGTCTCTTTATGGCATCTGGGATGTTTTGTGTGTGAGTGGTTTCTAAATGAACAGCATGTAGCTGGGCACAGAGGCAGCTTTTGTTAAGTGTGGATCTTTTCTCCACTTTCTGTCATTTCCCCAGTCTCCTTCCCTACAGGTAACATTGCCTACTTCACCTAGGGAGACAGGATAAGTGGCTTCTTCTCTGGGAGACAATCAGTAGCTTCCGTCTCTCTGAACCCACATGTAAGGATGTCCAGGATCTTGCTCTAGAAAGCTAGAGTCATCAATTTCTTACTCAGCCCCAGGAGGTGGGGTTCAGCGGCTTGGTTTTTGGTTCTTCTTTCTCCTTCACTTCCCATATAGGGGTTTCTTAGAATTATGAATTGTTGATTGTTCCTGTGTTATATTGTTTCTACATTCTATCCCTTTCTAGTCCTGCTGCTATAACTTTGCTTCATTCCATGTTCGCTTCGGATCTCTAGTACTGTAACATCCTGCTTTGCAATCCACCTCTTTCCCTCATCCCACTACAGCTACATGACTCCCAAGATCATATTCACTTTCACTGCTCCAGCCACATCACTTCTCTTCTCAGATCCATTACTAGCTTCTATCCTTCAGCACTAAGTTCAAGCTTCTCAGATCTGATTCCCCACTCTTGTCACACTGGTTTAGTCCAGTGTAACTTCATTGGCTTCACTGTGTAGCAGAGTGGAACAACAAACCCCTCATCTGTAAGATACCGCTCCATCCTTACATCTACACCCTAATATAATTCTCTTCCTGACCCCAGTTGCTGCTTAAACTCCTCACGCTGGGCTTTGTGTCTTCTACCATGCTGCCCTCTTCACTTGGGACAGGCTCCACGTGTGTTCAACCCACTTCTTCAATGAAGTCTTTCTACATTGGCAATATCCCCTTTATTGTTCTTGTTTCCTACCTCTATCATATTCGTCTGTAAGCTCTTCAAGAGAGTGACTGTGCTGTCTAAACAAGTCTCTGAAGAGGTGGGGTTAGTGGCTTCTTGGAATATCTGGGAGGCAAGCAGATTTCTCTTTTTCTGAAGTGCCCAATCTGTATCACACACAGCTGAGAGGTGATTCCAGCCCAGGCTGATAGATTCACAGTAGCTCAGTGCAAGCATGCTAAAATAGGAGTGTGGATGTTGCGGCACTGGTGAAGGCTTGGGCTAATTACCAAAGCTCAGATCCAGGACATTGCGTGGGTCTGAACTTGGGTAGCTAGCCTGAGCTGTAACAGCCACAATGCTATTCTTTGCGCACTGTCTCAAGCGGAGCTAGTGTGATTCTGTCTGCCCGGCCTGGGAGGCACATGCCCAGCTGCCATGTAGACCTACCCAAAAAGGCAGGGTTGGTGACAGCGTTGGCATAACTATCCTTTGGTGTGGTTCCTTCCTGTGCCAAGACTCTCACTGCCTTTTTTTTTCCTGCAGATAGCTTCATATTGAGGTCATAATGTTCTTCTGACGGCAGCTCCAATCTCTGTGCCTGGGGGTTTGTGTAAGTGGAATACATTTGCAATAGTTCAGGTGAGGACAGTTACTTCCATATGTCACTCTAGGTTTTTTAGCTAATTCAGTATTGTGCTGATATTTAAGGAAACATATTTCCGCCCTTCTCCTCTAAATATAATTACAAGAATAGTGGTCCAAATCTTATAGATTATTGCACTGAAGTCCATAGTTATGCCCAAGACAAATTTACCTCTGGGTGGGTCTGTCATTTTCCCCCCCACCAGCTCTTGGTGACTTTTATTGGGCTCCCGTGGTGCCCAATTCAGAACTGATGTAAGGGGGTGCAACTTTCTTGCCTTTCTGGTCACATCAGGTCTGAATTTGGACTTGTAAATCAGTTGATCAGTTCCTGTGGATGATACAATCTTTTTTGATCTCGACAATAAATGTTCAGTATTTAGACAATGAACCTTCTATATAAACTGTGGGCTCTTTATGAGGTTATAGTGCTATAGGAACTTGCATGGTGTTTTGCTGTGGGCCGCATATTTTTAAGTCTCTGTGGGAGGAGACCACTGAAAGGAAAGTGCTTTTTGCTTTTTTTTTTTTTTTTCCTCCAGAGGGTGAAATACTTTGTGGCATTTTTTTCTTAGAACACTGGGCTCTCAAAGAGACGGCTTAATACTGTAAGCATCTTGCTTGCAATTTATGGAGTCACAAGCTTGAATCCCATCAGGGTTGACTAAAACTTTCTACAGTACACACCTGATTTCTATGAATTTAGGGGGTGTGTGGAGTAGGACATGTTCAGATGAGATTCAGAACAAAGTTCTCCTGATTCTGCATGGAGACTAAAGATCTGTAGCCCTTTCTGTAAGAGCAGCTGTTTTACTCTGTGACCTTCATCTTTGTTTTCCCCTCCCACTTCTTTTATGTTTGCCACGTGTCCATCTGGCTTCCATTCTTTGTTGAAGACGCCTGTAGGTTTCCTGTAAAATCTGATGAGCTTAGTATCAGATTGTGGGTTACTACTGAGGAGCACCTCTCTTGGGGAAGCCTCACCTAGCACTCTCCCTGAGAGGTAGCAGGCAAGCTGCCTTCACTGGCCTGCTGGCTACCAATTGGTCAGTATCTCCTCCTGGCTCCTCTAGGCCCTCACAGCAACTAGTTTTGTTGGTAGCCCGGCCTGTGTGGGTTTTCCTTGAGCTGAGGGGTGTCTGGATGCTGATGTCTTCAGCCGGGTGCAGAGAGAGCCCGGTAGACCCCATCGCAGATGCTTTGTAAATAAGGTAAAATTGTAAGATCTTTAGGACAGGGACTGGTTTATGTATTTATTTTTTTGTTCTGTTTGTACCGCATCTAGCGCAGCGAGGTCATGGTCCATGACTGAGGCTTGTAGGTGCTATAGCAATATGAATAGTAACCAAAATGAACCGTGTAGCTGGAAGAAGTGCTTCATGGTATCATTGTGTTATGTCTGTATGCTTTGTTCCATGATGATGGTTGAGAATTCTAGCACACTGTTCAATGGGATCACACTGTTGCAGTCAGCAGCATCAAAACACTGATTCCGTTCAATAATTTAGCTCCTCTGAATAGCTGATGAAGACCTATTCTGGAAAGCTGACATTGTATTTTGTGCTGTTCAGAATGCAGTGGAATGCATGGTCCCTGGCCCACACCATTCATAATGTAAGATCAAAAATGGCTGGAGACTTTTGGGGTTCCCAGCTTGAGAGCCTTAGGGGCTGAGCACCCAAAATTCCAATCAGTGTTCATGGGAGTTGCAGATGTTCAGCACCTCTGAAAATCAGGTCCCAGGTATCTCAAGCTGGGCACCCAAAAATCTGTGGCCACTCTGGAAAATGTTAGCCTGACAGCACAATCCATCTCTCACTGCAGAGGATAGATTCCTGTTGATGAGGCAACAGATAAAAAAAAGAAAATGTGCCGTGCTTTGATAGCTTTCCTCTGGATGTTAAAAATCAATAATCCCAAATTTGCCCGGTTCTGTACAAGAAATGAAAAGGCTATGGACCCTGCATGAACATCTTGCAGTCTAATCCATGGACACAAAGTAAATGAGATTTACTTGAAAATCAAGAGGAAGGAATTACCAGAGTGTCTTCTGTGGGCTTTTTATTTTTTTTTTTAAATAATAATAAAAAATATATATAGGCTCACTAATTATGTGTGTCCTAGAATTGCCTTAATGAGGAGCTCAACTGCTGAGAATGTGCCTGGATGAGTGGGATGGGGAGGGTGTTTCATGTGTAAGGGGAGTTGTGGATAAAGTTACAGGAATGGGAGGAGAGTGAACATAGACAAGCATAATGGTCAGAATGAAGGTTGTCTGGGGAAGTGTGATGAAAAATGATCAGATAGTGCAACCTTGGGCCTATATATCTAAGGACTTGAGGGAAGTCAGCATGTCTGATCTGATTATATCTCTGCTGCTTTCATTAGTGTAACAGCGTGACCTAAGTGGGCTAAAAATTACAGGTTGGGTGGAAGAAGTGACCTCTAAGGATAGGTGGTGGTCACTTGTTATGTAGTGGGGAGGAAAGGAATACAAAGGCTAGTGATCAGCACAGAGGACACAAAAGAACTTCCTTCAGTGGACACAACGCTTAAAGTACATACAACTTAATTTTACTTTACTCTCTAGTGACCTACTCATTTTATGTCTCTTGTCTAGATGGATCATCATTAAATACTAGACTGTAAGCTGAGTGAAGCCAGAATCAAAATGACTAAGTACAAACTTGTTCTGTTAAGACACGGAGAAGGAGCCTGGAACAAAGAGAACCGCTTTTGCAGCTGGGTGGATCAGAAGCTGAGCAGCAATGGGATAAAGGAAGCTCGGAACTGTGGGAAACACCTCAAAGCGCTAGGTTTTCAGTTTGACCAGGTGTTTACATCCATCCTAAGCCGTTCTATTCAGACTGCTTGGCTGGTGTTAGAAGAGATGGGGCAAGAATGGGTTCCCACCCAAAGTTCGTGGCGTCTGAACGAACGCCACTACGGTGCACTGATAGGTCTCAACAGAGCAGAAATGGCTCTGAACCATGGTGAAGAGCAAGTGAAAATATGGAGAAGAAGCTATGATGTTACTCCACCTCCCATAACTGAATCTCATCCCTACTACAAAGAGATCTATGATGATCGCAGATATAAATGCTGTGATGTGTCGCAGGACAAACTCCCAATGGCTGAAAGCTTAAAAGAAGTTCTGGAGAGACTCCTTCCTTATTGGAATGAAAAGATAGCACCAGAACTGAAAAGCGGCAAAGTGATCCTTATATCTGCTCATGGAAACAGCACGAGGGCACTGCTCAAGCATCTGGAAGGTAAAGATCTTCACACTTTCTGCTTTAGTGGTTACAGTACCCAGACTTCTGTTTGTTCAAAAAATTATCTTATATGCTGATCCAACCCTTTCTTGCATTAACTACATAGAGCCAGTTTTGCCACACCTGCAACAGTACACGGACTTTAATGGCAAGCAGCATTTGATCCCAATGATGGTTCCCTAACGTAATGTAAGAGCTTTAACAGCTGTGGTGTCGAAGGACAAAATAATAGGTTGGACTCTCGAACAAAAATCAGATGGGAGGAGGCGGTGCCACACAATTAGTCTGCTTTACTTCTTCATCTTTTAAAAGATTAGATTTACACCAGTGTAAAAAAGATGAGTAACCAATCCAGCTTCAGTGGAATTAATAGACACCAGTGTGACCAAGATCAGAATCTGGCCCTGTTTTTGTTTTTCCCCTCTGTTCCCTATTTTACTGTGATAATTGACACAAACAGATTTTATATTCTGTTTTTCTACTCACCATATCATTAAAGTGCCTGGCTAGAAGTGTGAGGGGAATACTTACCGGTTACTGTGATGTATATCTTCTTTTAAGAGTAAGTGCTCGTGAATACATTACTGATAAGTCAGTGTTGCATTGACATACTGTGTCAGGAAGATGCTTGTTAAAACATTCATCTATACATATATTATACTTTCCCAGTGAACAGCTAAACTTATATTCCTGGATCTTGCAAAGGTTTGCTGATTCCTTTAGGGGCTGAGGGGGTGTGAGTTGAGATAGACCAGGGCCAATTTTGGGATAGGCCTTTTTAGACAGACATGAGTCCAAGTTAGGTCCTCCATAAATTAGCACAATCCACCTTCCAGTTATTCAGTTATGAATGTAGGTCCTGGTCACAGTATGGCTTTTTTAACCATGATTTTGTAATCTGCTAGAGGTACAGTCCCCTCTGCTGGTTGCAAGTAGATAGAAGTGCTGTGTAACACTGGCTTGTATCATCAAACCCATGTTTGTGCATCTGCACCTACTGCACTGCCCACATCATTTTCTTTCTGGGACAGTCTGGGCAAGTATTGTCTCACCAAAGTGAGCAGAGAACATACACCTAGAGTGGTATCCAGAGAGCAGGCAGTGTGTTCTGGAATGTCCTGCTTCCCAGGGCTGGGAAGAAGATTGCTAAACCAGTTATACTCGCATGGTATGGATGCCTTGGGCCTACAAAAAAAGTGCACTGAATCAGTTACAGGAAAACAGCCATGTGCCAGCCAAGCCTACTGGCAAGGGCGATACACGGCTAGCTGAGCACAGCTCCTGCATAACTTTTAACCATATTGTGTGTAGATACAAACCATGTTCAGAGCCAGCTATGTCAGACTAGCCCTACAGACTATATAATGAGTTTGTAACCAGAGTCTCTCCTGCACCGAGATCTGCTTGATGTAGGTGTGGAAGGAGAGTTATAGCTGGTTACAGCTCCCTGATTCTGAAGCTGCAGCTGTCCAATTCTCAGCATAAGTTAGAGTAGCCTATCGACTGATCTAAGCATAAATCAGCTGTGTATGGTCCCTAAGGAACCGTATGTAATACAGCAGAGAAATAACACAGCCGAGCAGAGTTGCATCCCTCTGACCACACCCTTTCTTTTCAGATTGAATACTCTATACTTGAGCAAAACTCCCATTGAAGTTAAACATGGCCATGGAGGAGGCCTTACCCTCTGAGGTGCTGACCCTTTCCTGGAAGGTGTTGAGCCCCTTGCTCCCACTGGCTGGAGTCCTGCCTGAGTAGATCCTGATTCTGCTGTCTCTTAAGTTGCAGATGAATTTGTGTGGCCCAACACTTTTGAGTGGCCACTGACTTTTTGGGTGACCCACTTGGGATATCTTGCACCTGACTCTTTTCAGAGGTTCCAGACACCTGCAGTTCCCATTAACTCAGCTGGAGTTGTGGGTTCATGGCTTGTCTGAGAATCAGGCTCACGATGTCTGAACCTGATATTAAAAATCTGTGGCCACTTCTGAATGTTTTGGTTATATTGACTACTTTATCTTTTGAGACTACAGCTGAACATACCTTGATTTAAGCCAAGAGGCTTTGAACGGAAGTAAGTACTAACAGATTTTCCTTTCTTAGGTTAAGACAGGTAAAATAATACATGGTTAATCATTTCAGAGAAACTTTCAGCAAAAGATTTTACTAAGAGGTTTCACTGACTCCTTTCAAAAACATCTTTGAAACACAGCTGCTTCTAAATCCAGGCCAAGTAGTTCCTTGGACATGAACATTGCCCTCATTATGGTTAATTAAAACAAAGCTTGAAAGGCTTAGGCTTGCTAACCACATTACCCCAAAAAAAAAAAAAAAGCTTTGGAGCAACAGACTTTCCTGCTTAACAAGGCTTTGATTGTGTGTTCGGTGCTAGGAATGGATTTAAGCAGGATGTGTTGAAATGCATGAAAGATCTGTTATGATTTCCATGGAAGATTGGTTTTTAAAAAACAAAAACAGCCAAGCAATTCTGCTGAAAACAATATTTAACACAGATTGGGATACACACACTCTGTGTGCATTTGGAGGTGAAATGAACCCCTGCAAAGAGAGATTATTAGTGTTTAAGTGGTACATAGTTCCTTGGCACAGGAGCGAATTTCACCCTAGCTACACTGTTTAAAAACTCTCATTTCTACAGAATCAATTCTTCAATAACTACTTCAGACACCGTTTCATCCTCAGTGCAATTCTCCTGAAGTCAGTGAAGGGTAAATATGGCTCTGTGGTTTGTGTGATCCTGTCCATTAATGCAAAGTGGGGTATAAAATTGTCCTCTTTAGGAGCACGTGCTGTTTGTGCCCTGTTCAGATGATCTGTGATGGTGGTAGATGTCTTTAGAACTACTTAAGGGAGATTTCCCGATGCTCAAAGTGCAGCGAGGTGTCTGGCTCCTATTGAATGTCAATAAGTCTTGGGTGTCCAACTTCTATTTATGTCTTTGAAAATTCCCTTAAGTTTCTTTTTCCCTCTCTGTTTTGTGCTTGCTGGTTAAAGCCTCTTGCAGCACCCTGGCTGCCTGTGACTCTGTATATCTACATTGTGTTTTTGAGAGGAGGAGGAGGAGGAGGAAATAAAAATAGAAATTAATGAAAAGGACATACAACATGACCAGATAACATGTGTTTAGTTAAAGGCCAGAGGTGGTGAGGCTAAGATTTAGTAGCACTACAGCAATCTGACTTCAAAGGCTGGATTTCCTTCACTGCTTAAGTGTGAAGGTGGGGTGCACACAGGAGATCCTTTGTGGAAGTATTTAAGAGGAATCTGTTGCATTTTTCCTGATAACTGGGGCTTCAGACTTTGAGGACTTTCTATGAGAGCCCCACCATGGAAACGCTCCCAGGTGAAGTGCTTACTGTGAGTAGTCCTAAAGTATATTTTCAAGGGGACAACTTGCAGAGGGGCTTCTGGAAAAGAGGGGCTTCTGGAAAAGAGACCCAGCTGTTGGCTTTGCTGTGCAAGCCTTACATAAGGAACCTTCTACATCCCTTCCCAGCCGACACTCTTTCCTCCCTGTGGGCCCAGAGAGTGCTCCTTCTGGATACAGGTACTGCAGGAGTAGCTGAGTTTCCCTTCCATGTGGATGAGAGGGGACAGCCACATACGCTTCTGGGAGGCACTGTTCTCTGTTTGGCTCCCCACTGAAATGCAGCCTCCTCTGGGGTAAAACCCAGTTGCTGTTTAACAGTGCTGTGCAGTCGTCAGGACAGGCAATGAAGAAAAAAATACTGTATCCTGTTGAAACTGCAGGCATGGCACAAAGCAGGCTGGGTTGCTCACTATCAGACTGGGCCAGGAAACTCAAGCTCTTGGGATGGGCTGTCAGCAGCAGAGGACAGCAACTTACCAGAGTCTGAAGCAGTGCTTCTCAATTGGCAGGCAGGGAGTGTAGCACCTTCCTTTGTTTTCTTCTGTGCTCAGGACATTATGCTAATGGAGCTGAAATGTACATACAGGAAGGGCACATGTGCAGGGAATGATCTGTGTGTGAACCCTGGTGTGACCGAGTGCTGGAGGCTAACAAGTGAGCCAACCCTCTGATCACTTGGGGTATGTCTACACAGCAAAGAAAAACCCAGGGCTGGCCCATGCCAGCCAACTCAGGCTTACAGGACTCGGGGACGGTTCCATTGCTGTGTAGACTTCTGGGCTCAGGCTGGAGCCTGGGCTCTAGGACTTGTCAGGGTGGGAGGGTCTCGGAGCTTGGGCTTCAGCCTAAACCCAGAAGTCTACACAGCAACGGAATAGCCTCGCAGCTTGAGCGCCATGAGCCTGCATTTGCTGGCATGGGCTAGTGGTGGATTTTTCTTTGCTGTGTAGCTGTACCCCTAGGCACCAATAAGTTCCTCTGGAGAAGGCTGATTGGGGAATGTGATTAATTAGCTGATCAGTCTGGGGACTGATGAACCAATTAGCCATCAGCTGAGTGGGAGGTGGAGGGAGATATACGGAGTTCTCCTAACCCAGTCGCTCTGAGATTCCAAGGGAAGAAATCTGTTTCTCTAGCTCTATGGGAAAGGGTGAGAAACCACTGTAAAAACTTTCCTGCACAAGATTGTATTCAGGTTGGTGGTGAGAAAATAATGTGGAGGTGCTATGCACTGGAGAGTCTGAGTGGTTTCTGGGCAGCAGAGGGTGAGAACAGAGCATGCCTTCTTACACTTGTGTTGGCAATAAGTCTCATGGACTTATTTGGCTGGGGTGTCTTCTTTTCTGTACCTGAACTTCCAGGCTTGGCAATATTGCCAGATGCTAGCTGTGGATTGCTATGTTGGGCTGTGCTGTGTCAATGCTCTGGGTCCCTCCATGGCTAGCTTGTAATTAATGTTGTTGTTAGTCAATGGCAGATTTCAGACTGCTTAAAGTTTGGCCTTCAGGAGGAAAATTTTATGGAGGCAGAATGTAGTTCTCTTAAACAGGATTTTTCCAGGACATTGGCTTAACGCCCCACCATGTGCTAGTACTATGGATGGGTT